GGAGAAATATATTTGTACATATTGATGAAATAATGAAATAAAGAACTTTGGAAAGTTATTTTAGAAATACACAAAGAATGTGACAATATTGTACATAGTGAACCAAGCATAGTGTGAGATTGTTGTGGTACTGCACCCATGAGTATTGGACACTATGCAGTCAGTCAAGATTTCCCATGTGAATGAGTGTTTCCTGTGCATCTGATATCTGCACTGCATTCCTGTTCATATACATCCTGGCAATATTGCACATCATCCTACTCAATGAGCTGGCATTTGGCTAGTATGCACACTGCATGTTTTATGCTCTTCCACCACTTACTCTCTTGTACCAGGCTCTGTTTGATGCTTCAGTTCAAAGTATGTGAACCTGCCATGTACAGATGCATTTTGTAATGGTCACACAGAACATTATCAATTTATATGTTTCAGAATAATCAGTTTATGATAAGGAGCTGAAGCATTGAGTGGAAATGGCCTCCAGAGAAATGAGTGAGGGAAATGATGCTCAGGAACAGGTATGATTTCAGCAGAAGTGTTTCTAGTTGGTGATGCTCTTGTTATTGGCACCAAAGGACCACTGCAGTCAGCTCAGCCAAAACACCAATGAGCAACAGAAATAGTTGGTGATGCATAATATATGAGATTCTTGGTTAAAATGGTGAGCAACAGTTCTCTTTTCTCTCTGTGCTCTCTCTCTTTGTGTGTGTGTCTCAACAATGTCAGTGTCAGTGTCAAATCTCAACAGTGCTTTCCAGCTTTAGTGACTTATGAGCATTTCAGAATCAATTGATTTAACTGTAGCAGAAAAAGGCTTTTTATTTTTTTGAAAAGGTTGTATTTGTATGAGGATAAGCTGGTCTTGCAGCCACCACCATATGTTTTCCAGTGTGTGGAGCTGTTGAATCAGGCCTCACTGCTTCAAGATGAGAGGCAGAAGGTGACCAATCTGAAGAAGGTGCAGGAGCTGATCATCCACCAGGACCCAGCACTGTTAGACAACTTCCTTGATGAAGTGGTAGCCTTCCATGTCCGATCCAAGTGCTGAGGTGCGGCGCACTGTGCTCGCTTCATCGAAGAGGCATGGGTGAGTGGGTTCCATCTACCCCTGGACGTCCCATTCAGGAACAAGGCCAGCTCAGGGTCTGCAGCAGAGCATTCATTGCTCTGTTCCCTGGATAAGGATTGCCTAGATGAACTTTGTATCCAGGAATAAACCATGGCATTGACAATGACTTGTAGTGATGCATGCATTAACAATGGGAATACTTACTTGCTTCAAAGTAGAGTGTATATTAAAATACAATGTAAATGACTTAACCCCACACTAGTTGGGAGGGCTTCTCAGTTGCACATTTTCAGTGTTTTGCAGGATTACAGATGAAAGAATGATCAGACAATTGTCCTCATCTAGTGTGTTGGTATGTTTACAGAGGGTACACATACACACTGTCAGTATGTTCATATATTAATACACCAGGCAAGAACGATAGTCCCAACGTTTCTCCCATCTGTGATACTGATGCATCCTCTCAATTCCCGCATGTGATTGTTCGCACTTGTTTGCCACTTAACTCTCAAGTCTCAAATTGTAAGATCTGCTGCTAGACTATAGGCACACGTCAAGTGCACGTAGGCGTATGTAATAGTGGATGGGTTCCTATATCAGGATTCCGGCGTTACGAATTACGAAAAAAAATACGGCAAAAAAAACATTACGAAAAATGCCTGCGTCTTCACACTGTCTAGTGACCACACCCAGTGTAGATCCCTTGGGACAAGTGATGTGTAACTACGTTTTAGAGCTGATGCACCCTATCTTTCCATGAAGTGGTCACCCAAAAGCTTCATGGTTGCGTGATCACTGGTCCGGAACTCACCTGCCCCATTGATAAAGACATGGCCTGGTTATGGTTGCATCTTTCAGTGCTTATGCGCGAAGATTAAGTCAGATGGGCACATGCTGGCTCGACCATAAGCCGCTGACATACATCCCTGCGTTCACAGCAAAAAAGACAATGAGATGATCCCTAAGGTGGTGGCCAACCTGGGCATCCTGCTGCAGGACAGCTTCTCCATGGCAGTGGTCAAGCGGACCATGCAGGCCATCTCCAACATATACAGGGTAAGGCTTGAGTTCTGAACTGCATGCATCTGGTGCCCGTATGTTGCCGTATTTTAAAAAAAGAAAGAGGGGGCTTGGTCGTGGCTTGCGTGGGTGCTCGTTGATATGTGTTATGGTTCTTTGCTAGGGCTGGTAGTGACAGGTGCTGCATCTGCCATCAAGGTGGACAGATGTCTCACTCCTGTCCATCCAGGATCACAGTCCTCTCTGCCAGCCATTTTTCGAGCTGGCTTTTTGCAGCCTGTCTCACCAGTCTTTGACTTCGTGCTCATTGTGAGCTCCATGGTCTTTGATGGTCTCATATAAACAAACGACCCCAGGTCATGCTGCTGTTGGCTCACTTCGATCCGATTGGGGTCAACTGTTGATCCCGTGGCCTCTCTGTCTCCGGTTGATCCTGTGTTTCACCGCCATATTGGCCCGGCTCAGCCCGGACCGCGGCCTCAGTTGACCCCGTGATCTCTCTGCCTCCGGTTGATCCTGTGTCTCACCGCCACATTGGCGCGGCCCAGGTTGGACCGCGGCCTCGGTTGACCCGTGGCCTCTGTTGACGACCTTTGTCTGGGCCGCCGCAGGCGACGCTGCGATGACCCCAGCTGACCCGTGTTCTCCATTGACCCGTGTTGTCCGCTGGTCACCGCAGGTGACCCTACAGTGGCTCAGCTCGGCCCGGACCGTGACCGAGGTGATGGACTCGGCCTGGAGCATGCTCGGTCAGATGAAGCGGCGGATTATCGGCTACGTCGACCACGACAACGACGGGTGAGCGGCACAGACGCAGCCGGCCCGAGCCTCCGCGTCCTCTATCCAACGCTCGCTCGCGACGGCGTCTCGTCAGCGGTGCGCCGGAGAACCCTGCCGGTCGGCAGCGTCGGCTGCCGCGTAGCCTGGTGTCTTGTTTGAATGTAGGCGTGCTGCCACGTCTTCTCGGGATCAGGGCTATCGTGTTTTGACGTTGTTGCAAAGCATTTAAGGACGTGTGTCCGTTGCCTTGGTATCGTCCCGTCACATTACCACCTCCGCGGCGTTTGCCATCGGTGTAAGGAGCCGCGGCGTGCACCAGCTGTGCAAAGTCCCGCGTTTGGGACGCGCGCAACCCATGTCCCTCAGCCTCAGTTGTCTTGCGTGATGCTTCCGTTCGGTGCAGGCCTTACAACGTGTCGATGGCCCGTCCCGCAGTGTGCGCACAATGGCCGTCAAGTTCATGGAGACGGTGATCCTGCTGCAAACGTTCTCTGAGCCAGGGAGTCTGAAGCGACCCGAGTTCTGTCTGGACGGCGTGCCTATAACTCTCAAGATCGCGCGGCCGCGCAAGCTGGAAGAGGAGGCCCGGTACGTGGGCCAGCCGGCCGCGGCCACGGGCCCGGGGTGGCGGCCAGGACGGCCGGCCGCGGCCGCCGGCCCGGGGTGGCGACCAGGACGGCCGGCCGCAGCCACCGGCCCGGGGTGGCGGCCGGCCCGGGATGGCGGCCGCGCCACTAAGAGCAGACTGCTGTCGTTAACAGGCTGTGGGCTTCCTGCAGGCTGTCGTCATGAGACGAACTGTTGCCAGACGTCAGGCCGCCATTATAGGATAGATTGTGGACATAGGACGGGATGCTGCCTTAAGACAGGCTGCCGCCGTCGGGCGAACGCCGCCCTGTCCGCGATCAGACCACGAGTTGCCTCTGCGTCGCCGCTCCAACCGCGTTATACGTCCTGTGTGGTCACTGGGACGTGGCTGGCGTATGGCAGCCCTGGGCCCCGAGCCGGCCCATCGCCGCCTCCGTAATACCGCGCTGGCCGCTTTCAGCCCCGCCGTGCCTTTGACGCGGCCGTGACCAACAAGGGACCTGTGGCGCCGTCTCGGCCGTGCCGCCTCTCTGTCGCCCCGGCCGTGCTGCCCCTGCGTCTCCCCGACCGTACCGCCTCTGTGTCGCCCCGACCGTACCGCCCCTGTGCCGCCCCGACCTGCCGCCCCTGTGCCGCCCCGACCTACCGCCCCTGTGCCGCCCCGACCTGCCGCCCCTGTGCCGTCCCGGCCGTGCTGCCCCTGCGTCGCCCCGACCGCTGTGCGCCGCCGCCAGGTCCGTGTTCGCGCAGCTGATCAAGTTCCACGGCTCGCCGCACATCAGCAGCGTCAACCTGATGGCGTGCATGGGCTCGCTGACGCTGATCGCGCGCTGCCGGCCGTCGCTGCTGACTCAGGTCATCTCGGCGCTGGAGTCGCTGCACGGTCAGTACAGTGGCGCGGCGTCCACCGGCCCCGGCGCTACCGACCCGATGCCGCGCAGCCGCGCTGCAACGGAGCGCTCTTATTAGTGCTGTGGAAATATTGACACCTGAGCAGTATTGCACGCAATGTTATAGTACGTCAGAGTATCTAAGTATGTTCCGCAAGTGCATTTGTTAGGCAGTATAGGATGATGTAAATTTGGGATGTAACCGCCAAGTTGTAAAATGACATTGAACTCTGAAAGGGATTGGGCATTGTATTCATGGAATTTTTAGCTTTCTTTGATGTAAGAAACTCACGAGAAAAATTGCCGCAGCGAACCTGCCTCCGACGCTCTCCAAGTCCCAGGTGAACTCAGTGAGAAAGCACATGAAGATGCAGCTGCTGAACCTGCTGAAGCACCCGGCGTCGTACGACAGTCACCGCAACATCTGCACCCTGCTCACCGATCTGGGGGCCTCCCAGAGCGAGGTAAGCGGCGGGAGACAGCGAGAGGAATCAAGCGCGAGGTCCCCCGTCCATGACGTCACACAATCTCGACGAATGACGGGCGGGACTAGGGTAGGGGAGGGGGGTTACGGTGTCTGGCTTGATCTGGAGGGGCTTAGCGCGCGATTCTCGTCAAGGAGAGCTTTCATTTGTCCTGATTGTTCCATACCATTGCTAAGAAAATTTAAACCGGAATGTATGAAGCCGTGTGATTTGATAAATAATCTGTGTGTTGCAATATGTTGTCGCTATCATTGGAAAGTTCCGTGCACGCACTCAGTGCACAGTACATGAGCTGTTTACCCTTGTCTGATCGGGTGCAGCCGGCCGTGTCTGTTTGTGGCATGCCGACCTGGCCGTATTACCTCGGCCCGACCGACCGAGTCTGTCTGCTATGACTCTTCTGGCCGTCTGGCCCGACTCGTCCGTGTAGCCCAGTGTGAGTGTTCGGTCCGCTCCTCTGTGGCTGTCCATTTGGTGTGTGCACGTGCGGTCTGACCCCGTGTGACGGCTGTCTCCATCTTGCTCGTTGTGACGGCTGTCTCCGTCTGACCCTGTGTGGCGACCGTCTTTGTCCGGCCCGGTGTGACGGTCTTCTAAGCCTGGACCCGTGTGACGGTCTTCTCCGTCCGACCCTGTGTGGCGACCGTCTTTGTCCGGCCCGGTGTGACGGTCTTCTCCGCCTGGACCCGCGTGACGGTCTTCTCCGTCCGACCCTGTGTGGCGACCGTCCCTGTCCGGCCCGGTGTGACGGTCTTCTCCGCCTGGACCCGCGTGACGGTCTTCTCCATCTGGCCCCGTCTGATGGCCGTCTGCATCTGACCCCGTGTGACGACCGTCTTTGTCCGGCCCCGTGTGACGGTCTTCTCCGCCTGGACCCGTCTGACGGCCGTCTCCTTCTGACCCTGTCCGACGGCTGTCTCCGTCTGGCCCCTTCTGACGGCCGTCTGACCCCGTGTGACGGTCGTCTCCGCCTGGACCCATCTGACGGCCGTCTGACCCCGTGTGACGGTCGTCTCCGCCTGGACCCGTCTGACGGCCGTCTGCACCCGTGTGACGGTCCGCCCGGCCGCCGCGCCTGACGCCGGCCCCGGCCGCAGGTGATGCGTGCCATGCCTCCGCCGGAGGAGCTGCGCAAGCGGCAGCGGCGGCCCGAGGAGCCGCCCGGCGACGCCGACGACGACACACCCGTCACCAAACGGCAGGCGAGTCACCGCCGGTGCGCGCGCGTTCAGAAGGGGGCGGCCACACACCGCCGGCCGAGAGCAGGGGAGTCGCACACACGCTGGAGCGCACCGCCGGCGGACAGCTGCAGCCGGCCCACCGAGCCGCGTGCTACGGTTGACCATGGGCGGTGCCTGGTGGGGATCGCCTCCCGGGTGGGTTGCTTTTGTGCTGGCTTCAAACTAGCATGGTGCGTCGTGCAGGTTCTGTTTCTGCTCTCGGGTTCTGCTTTCTTCTCCGCTGCCTCGCCCCGTGAGGTCCTGCGTCACATCTGACGCGCTCTCTCCCCGCAGAAGTTCGTCGAGGACGACGACGATGAGGACGAGGAGGAGGAGGAGGCGGGCGGCGCGCCGCCGCGGCCGGCGCCGCTCGACAAGAAGCAGCACAAGGCGAACGCCATCGACATCACCGAGGCGTGGGCGTTCGAGCGGCTGACTCCGGCGCTGGCCGCCAACCTCGTGCTCGTGTCCATGGTGAGAGCGGCCTGGGCGGCCGGCCCGCCGCGGAACCCTCGCGTCATCAGCCGGCGGCCGCGCTGATGGTGACCGCGATGGACTTGTTCTCTGTGGTATTTGGGTGGTCAGGCTCGCTGTCGGTTTGATGTAGGTGGCATCAAGACACCGGGGTATGCACCGACGTCCGAGTCTGTTGGTGTGCCCGGGGATGGGAGTCTGGCGTGTTCGTCGTCGAGGGAATTACTCAGCGGTCTTCCTTTAAAATTTCTTTACATTCGTCTTTTCTGCTTTATTTTACGTCTGGCTTGCATCCCCAGGGCCAGACTTGGATTCACTTTTGCATCCCATCTCATTCAGGGACCGTATATTCGACCTGGCATCCAACTCAGGCTCGTTTTCACAATGGATAAACTTGGGTAAGCGTTTGATCGTGATGTTTCGGGGTATGTTGGTCTCCGCATAACTCACTGACTGATCCATTTTATCCTTAGCATAGCTGTGTGTTGTTTTGCCACGGCGTTGTGGGTGGAACAAAACCAGTTATGCAACCTACCAAGCTAAGTGTCCTCAGAGGCGGCCTCGGTGTTTTGGCCGTGCTGTGTCGGCCACCGGGCCCCGCACCTCCCCAGACAACAAACGGCGACAGCTCCGCACCGGTCACCTCGGCCTCGTGATCGGCGCTGTGGACGCCTCGCCAGCAATGTAACGCTGTGGCCCGCCCGACAGCACAACCTGCCGGACACCCCGCCGGCGCTCTTCAGCAACACGTTCACGCCAATCTCGGCCGCCGGCACGAGCTCCCAGATCCAGCACGTGGCGCGCCTGCTGGCCGCCCAGCTGACGCACGCCGGCATCGGGCCCGGCGTCGAGGCCACGCGCAATCAGGGCATCCAGATGACGGACGTGAGTGAGTCGCCGCCGGCGCGTCGGCGGCCGGCGCGGGCCGCGCCTGCGATGTCTGGGGGACGGCGGACTAACGCGAGACGGTGTGGGGAGGTGTTCACTGCTCTGGGGCATCGACTGAATACGCCGCCATCACCTGGTACTGACGGGCATCGCGCGGTCTGAGCCGTGCAGCTGCTGCCCTCCGTCCGACGGCTGCCCTCCACTTGACCGCTGCCCCCCGCCTGAGCGCTGCCCTCCACCATCCGCCTGACGGCTGCCCTCCACGAGTAGACGTTTTGCCGGCGCCCTGCTCACGCCGTGCGTGTGACCTGCGTCGCTGGCCTGGCAGCACGACTGGGAGATGGCGGAGGAGGAGGAGACGCCATCGGGCGCGCGGCAGCCTATCGCCACCGTGCTGGCCGGCACCGTGTCGGGCCGCGAGACCAAGAAAAAGGTGGCGCTGCTCCCCTCCGGACAGATGAACAAGAAGCACATGGTGAGGACCCGGCCGCCGCCGCCGGTCGCTGTCGGCCAGGCGTCCGGCGATGCTAGCTTTAAACGTGTATGCTGGGTGTTGCACTGGAACAGTCAATTTAACAAGCGCGAATAAGGATGCTAAAAATGTGCCAAGCACGCAAAGCAACTGCCAAGTATGTTGAAAATTTCAAAACATTTGGATTGGTGTCTTTCATGCAGTCAGTAGGGTTTAGGATTCGATAAGGACGTAGACCTAGGCAGATGAACACTGGCTGTAAAGGCAAGTTTCCAAATGCTGAACAATGTTTAACATAAATAATTGTGTTAGGTAATGCTGCTTTTTGCATATCGCAGCCTTTTTAAAATCGACGTGTGGAATGAAACCCTATAGTTTCGCCCGTTACAGCCGTCGTGAGAGATTTCGTTTCTTAGGACTAGCTATTAGATCTATGCTTTCCGTCACAGTAGGCCAAACGAACCAATCTTACTGCGTCAACTTGCGTGAGAGACTGGCATACCCTCGCTGAACGCGAAGACCAGTGATGTAGCGAAGGCTGAGCCGCTGTCTACAGCGCCGTTAGCAGTCGTTCGAGCGGGGGCGACACATTTGAGCTGTTCCTCGGTCACCGCGTGTGGTGTGGCGCTGCGGGGCGAGGGGCGCGTCCCGCCCCCCACTGCGTATTTGTTGAGCATGAGCAAGTCCGTGCTGAGCCCGCGCTGGACCCGTGCTGGGCCTGTGCTGAGCGCGTGCAAGTCCGCGTTGAACTCGTACTGTACCCGCGCGGAACCCGTACTGGACCCGTGCCGAGCCCGTGCTGAGCACGTGCGGCCGGCAGGCGAAGCCGCTCCGTCTTCCGGAGATCACGCGGCCGCTACCGGCTGACGAGCTGGAGCGGATGATGACGGCTGCGCTGGACCGGCTGCTGGCGGCCGAGCGGACGGCGCGCGCTGGCGGGCTGGCCGCCGCCCGCTCCAAGCTGCTCGCCATGATGTCGTCCCACTTCACCGGCCACCTGCTGGAGAGTGAGTATGCCGCCGGCCGGGGGTGGCCTGCCGCCGGCACCCGGCTAGAGCCGGGGCGCCGACCGTCAGCAGAGAGGGCAGAAGAAGGAGAGGCTTTCATCCTTAAGTGGCAAAGCCGCGCGCTAACATCGTTTCTTGGCCTCCAATGCAGTGTGATTTTTTTCTGCGACCCAAGATGGCCGTCTGCACTGGATTCATTTCGCTGTTCTTGGGATGGAGCCCGGTAAAGTGTCCGTCTCGCCGCAAAAGCTGGCGACCGCTCCGCACCACCATCTCCAGGGTGCAGAGACGCGGAGCCGTCAGTGTTGCTCACTGTTGTCCCTGCTGCTGCCGCAGAGATGCTGGGCCACGTGCTGGAGGATATCGGCGGTCGGTCAGACCTGGTGTTCAGCTGGCTGTACGAGGAGTACGCCAACGTCTCGGGCTTCAGCAACCTGGGCCAGGTGGTGCACAGCACGGCCAGCTACGAGCAGGTGTTCTGCATGCTCATCTCGGCTCTGATGGTGCGGCCCGACTTCAAGGACGGCGAGACGTGAGTAGCACTGCCCGGGTGGGCGGGCTCGCTGGGCGGCCGGCGGGCCCGCGCCGGCCTCGGCGCACGTGACGCTGGCCCGCCTGCGCCGAGCGGCCGTGTGGCCTTCGGGGCTGGGTGGTGTCGGCGCCGCTCGCTCGGTGCGCTGGGCGTCGCGCGCGGCCGCGCGCACCCGCCACAGTAAGCCTCTGTCCGCGGCCTCCACAGCCCTCCGCCCGATGTGAGACTGCAGGTATCGGTAGGGTAACACTTGCATGTGGATGACATTAAGTCACCGGCGGATGATGGCTCTATGGCTGTGCCCGACATGTTTGGTTGTGACAGTAGCGCGCGTTGCCGTGGCTGCCGCGCGTATTCCCGATCAGTACATGTCACGGAAGGCCCAGCAGACATGCGTCCGCGCGGGCCCGGCCGCCGACCAGCGCGTATGTTCACTGACGGCGCCATGGCAGGCCGGTCACGCGGCTGGTCGGGGCGGTCCAGTGGGCGCGCGTGCTCGGTCTGTGGCGGTGACCGGTGACCGGTGCGCTCGTGACCGGTGACCGGTGCGCTCGTGACGGCCGACAGCCTGCTGACGCGGCTGTTCGCTGGCGGCGCCATGTCAGGCCGGTCACGCGGCTGGTCGGGCAGTCCAGTAGGCGCGCGTGCTCGGTCTGTGGCGGTGACCGGTGACCGGTGCGCTCGTGACGGCCGACAGCCTGCTGACGCGGCTGTTCCTGGAGGCGCCGCTCGTGCCGGCCTCGGCCGTGGACATCCTAAAGGGTTTCAGCGCCGAGTCGGCCACCCACCGGCAGGGCATCCAGCTGCTCAGTCAGCTGATCTCGCGCCGGCCCAGCAAACAGCTGACCTACATCAGCGCGCTGCTCCAGCTGGCCAGCCACAACGCCTCCGAGGTCCGTCCGCTGGCGCGCGCGCGCCCGGCATCGCTCACACGCACATGGGTGGCGGCGGCAGGCCCGGTTCTGCTGCTCCCTGATTTTTCGTGTTTGGAATTCGGGATGAGATTGAAAGCAAGGAAGAGAGACACATAATAATCTGACATCGTTGTGTTGTGCCCTTTTCACCGCATCCTTTTGGCGTGCAACAAACCTTGGAAAGAACTTGACGTGATATCGGGACGTATGCGTGCAAATGGTGTCGCGCACCAGATTTATTTGTGTGTCAGGATCGTCCGATCCGTGCGTCCAGCTTCGCCGACCCAAATGAGAGGCGGCCAGAGGAGGGCATGGGCTTGGGTCGAGCCCGGGACGTGTGGTGGACTAGAGCTGGGTCTCCCCCAGCGCTGTGGTGGTTCCTGGCGCGGTCTCCCCCAGCGCTGTGTGTTGGCCTCGGGCGCGGTCTCCCCCAGCGCTGTGTGGTGACCTCGGGCACGTTCTCCCCCAGCGCTGTGTGTTGGCCTCGGGCGCGGTCTCCCCCAGCGCTGTGTGGTGACCTCGGGCGCGCTCTCCCCCGGCGTTGGACGGCGACCTCGGGCACGGTTTCCCCCAGCACTGTGTGTTGGCCTCGGGCGCGGCCTCCCCCAGCGGTGACGTGTGGTGCCGCAGGTGCGGGAGCGGGCGCTGGCCACGGTGCTAGAACTGCACGGGATGAACGGCGCGCTGGCCGGCCTGGTGGAGGAGCACGCAGTCGACCGGCTCAAATACCTGGCGCTGGAGACGCCGCCGGCCCTGCTGCTGGGCGACGACCAGAGGTGAGCCGCGCCACTGGACCGGGTCCTCTGCCCCTCCCCGGGTCTGGTCAGCACCGAGCCGGCCCGCGCAGCCAGCGAAGGCCGGGATGTACGGTGAACTGTGGCGGTGGCGAAAACCTTAACCATCATCCGGAGTGGGCGTGGTTTTGCACTAGCGTATTGGCGACCACGCAACCACGTCCAATTTGCCTGCAGATTGCTTAGTCTGGTATGTTATATGCTGCATGTGCATTGTATTGTGGTCTTTATGTGGCTGTTTTGGCTCTGATGCTGCACCGCAGGCCGATAGCTTCACAAATTTATCGGTCGATATCGGCACTACCTTTGCAATCACCTCAGCGGTGGCATGCGAGCGTCCCTCCCCGTCGGTGAGGTATGAGAAACGTCCGTCCCCATCGGTGTCACGTGGGCGTCCCTCCCCGTCGGTGAGGTATGAGAAACGTCCGTCCCCATCGGTGTCACGTGGGCGTCCCTCCCCGTCGGTTCGTCGGTGTGGTGCGAGCGTCCCTCCTCGTCGGTGAGGTGCGAGCCTCGCTCCCGGCGTAGGTGCAGCCCCTGATGGCGTCTCCTCCCGCCCGCAGCGCCGCGCCGGCCGGTGTCACGCTGGAGTGGACTGACGAGCTGGCCAAGCTGTGTCTGCACCTGTACCTGGCGCTGCTGCCGCGCCGCGAGAGCCTCATACACGAGTGGGTGGCATGCGTGCTCCTCTGGCCTGGCAGTAAGCCGAGCTTGCGGTACACGCCAGCGGGGCAGGCGCCAGGAACGGCCTGCAGCGTGGCTTTCAGGTGTCACTGTACACGCTCCTGGGCAGGTCATGCTGTCGTCGGTACACGTATGTTAAGAGTGTGGCTGCAAGTATTGTAAAGCCAACTGTAAACAACGGTGCGAGGGGTGCCTCCGGTTTGTGGTGGACGCGACAACTGATCTCACTCCTGATGAGACGCCTGCGGTGGTGCCTGCTGCGGCCGGCCTGTGGACTGAGCGGACGTGCCGGGCCTGCCGCAGGCTGGCGCACGTGTATGTGCAGACGACGGCGGATGTCAAGCGCACCATCCTGCGGGTGCTGGAGGCGCCCATCCGCGGCATGGGCATGGAGTCGCCGGAACTGCTGACGCTGGTGGAGACGTGCCCCAAGGGTGCCGAGACGCTCATCACGCGCGTCATCCACATACTCACCGACAAAAGTACGTGGGCCGACTCCGTGCGTCGCCCGGACGCCGGGGCGGTCGCGGGTGTGCCGGGTGTGGCCGGTGATGGATGGTCGGGTCTGGTGACCGTCAGGCTGTAGCCTGCAATCGCTGGCGTTCAATAGCCCCTGGCTTTCGGCGCCGCTGCTCAGCGGCATCGAAAGCTGGTGGATGGGGCATAGTGTGACGGGGTGTACGCCAGCGGCGCCATCTCGTGGTGGTCTCGTGGTCAGCGGTGTGGTCCCCGTGTGACCTCCCTGGCCGTCTCCAGTGGTGTGGTCCCCCGTGTGACCTCCCTGACCGTCTCCAGTGGTGTGGTCCCCCGTGTGACCTCCCTGGCCGTCTCCAGTGGTGTGGTCCCCCGTGTGACCTCCCTGGCCGTCTCCAGTGGTGTGGTCCCCCGTGTGACCTCCCTGGCCGCCTCCGGTGGTGTGGTCCCCCGTGTGACCTCCCTGGCCGCCTCCGGTGGTGTGGTCCCCCGTGTGACCTCCCTGGCCGTCTCCAGTGGTGTGGTCCCCCGTGTGACCTCCCTGGCCGTCTCCGGTGGTGTGGTCCCCCGTGTGACCTCCCTGGCCGTCTCCAGTGGTGTGGTCCCCGTGTGACCTCCCTGGCCGTCTCCAGTGGTGTGGTCCCCCGTGTGACCTCCCTGGCCGCCTCCGGTGGTGTGGTCCCCCGTGTGACCTCCCTGGCCGCCTCCGGTGGTGTGGTCCCCCGTGTGACCTCCCTGGCCGCCTCCGGTGGTGTGGTCCCCCGTGTGACCTCCCTGGCCGTCTCCAGTGGTGTGGTCCCCCGTGTGACCTCCCTTGCCGCCTCCGGTGGTGTGGTCCCCGTGTGACCTCCCTGGCCGCCTCCGGTGGTGTGGTCCCCCGTGTGACCTCCCTGGCCGTCTCCAGTGGTGTGGTCCCCCGTGTGACCTCCCTGGCCGCCTCCGGTGGTGTGGTCCCCCGTGTGACCTCCCTGGCCGCCTCCGGTGGTGTGGTCCCCCGTGTGACCCCCTTGCCGCCTCCAGTGGCGTTGTCCCCCGTGTGACCTCCCTGGCCGTCTCCAGTGGTGTGGTCCCCCGTGTGACCTCCCTTGCCTCCTCCGGTGGTGTGGTCCCCCGTGTGACCTGGCCCGCCTCCAGCGGCGCGGCCGCGCGTGACGTGCCGCCGGCCGTGCCCGCAGCGCCGCCGTCGGCCGAGCTGGTGGACCGGGTGCGTGACCTGTACCAGAAGCGGGTCTCGGACGTGCGCTTCCTCATTCCGGTGCTGAACGGACTGCGCAAGCGGGAAGTGATCGCCGCGCTGCCCAAGCTGATCCGGCTCAACCCGGTGGTGGTGAAGGAGGTGGGTTGGACGTGGGGCGCAGGCCGGGCCGGCGCGGGTATCGTGTAGGGGGGGGGGGAGCTCGGGGGGTGTTCGGGACACGCTGGTCGCATGAATAGCACAGAAAGGCTCAGGCGGAGGCGGCCAGTCGTCCGTCTAGGTGGTGGTCCCGGCCAAAGTATCTGCAGCAGACGCGTGTGAGACACTGTCCTGCCGGCGACTGCTGGGTGCATCAAACAGGCGCTTAATCTGCGGGGTGACTGTCCGCTGCTGAACACGGCGGCCGGCGATGTGTCCAAGCTGAACTGTGCGCGGTGTTACGGCGACCGCCGAGAGATTATGCAACCAGGTGCGACGTGTTGTGGGATTTTGTAACTTGGGCTTCCGAGGGAGTGTTGACTGAGCTGTGCGTCTGTGGTTCGGACAGGTGTTTAACCGGCTGCTGGGCATCCACTCGGACACGGCCAACTTCAGCTCGCCACTCACGCCCGTCGAGCTGCTGGTGGCGCTGCACAACATCGACCCGACCAAGTGCGACATGAAGACCATCATCAAAGGTGAGCAGGTGTCGAGTGGACGCGGCGCCACGGGTCGCGCCCGGGCCGACGGCGGCACGAGCGCCGATCTCCTGCCGCCACGGCCGTCAGCCGCCGACCGAGTGGAGTGTCAGTACGGCGCCACGGGTCGCGCCCGGGCCGACGGCGACACGAGTGCCGATCTCCTGCCGCCACGGCCGTCAGCCGCCGGCCGAGTGGAGTGTCAGTACGGCGCCACGGGTCGCGCCCGGGCCGACGGCGGCACGAGCGCCGATCTCCTGCCGCCACGGCCGTCAGCCGCCGGCCGAGTGGAGTGTCAGTACGGCGCCACGGGTCGCGCCCGGGCCGACGGCGGCACGAGCGCCGACTCCCGCCGCCACGGCCGTCAGCCGCCGGCCGGGTGGAGTGTCAGTACGGCGCCACGGGTCGCGCCCGGGCCGACGGCGGCACGAGCGCCGATCTCCTGCCGCCACGGCCGTCAGCCGCCGGCCGGGTGGAGTGTCAGTACGGCGCCACGGGTCGCGCCCGGGCCGACAGCGGCACGAGCGCCGACTCCCGCCGCCACGGCCGTCAGCCGCCGGCCGAGTGGAGTGTCAGTACGGCGCCACGGGTCGCGCCCGGGCCGACGGCGGCACGAGCGCCGATCTCCTGCCGCCACGGCCGTCAGCCGCCGGCCGGGTGGAGTGTCAGTATGACGGTCGGCTGTCGCGGGCATCGAGATGACTGCTGAGATCAGTCATTAACGGCTCCACGTCATGCTCTGGGGCCTTGGCACGTTGACTGTTAAACCCTGCCTGGCTTTTCGTACACCAGCTGGATATGCTGTTTGGCTGTGACCCGGACATGACGGGGGGGGGGGGGGGGGGCGCTGTGTGTGTCCGGGAGCCGGCGGACCGGCCGCCACTGCGGACTCCGGTGTTCGGTGAGTGATGCGTGCTAGCCGGGGCTCAACGCAGCGCGGATGAGAGTGGCGCCGCACCGGGTGGACTTCGCCCCGCAGCGACGACGGCCGGTGCCTGTGTGGCGCCCTCTTCCGGCGCGGCTGACCGGCCCGTCGCGTTCCCGGCAGCCACCTCGCTGTGCTTCGCCGAGAAGCAGGTGTACACGCAGGAGGTGCTGGCCGTGGTGCTGCAGCAGCTGATGGAGCAGTCGCCGCTGCCGGTGCTGCTGATGCGCACTGTCATCCAGTCACTGGCGCTCTATAACCGACTCATCGGCCTCGTCATGAACATCCTGCAGCGGCTAACCAGCAAACAGGTGCGGAGATGTCATCCTGTTCCCTCCCCCCTCCCAAGCGTTAAGACGGTAGCCTGTCCCCCCCCCCCCCAACGTCCGCAACTGCCGGCGTGCTTTGTGTCAGGCTTGTACTTGCGCTCAGCTGACTTAGGCGCTTCCCGGCTTTCTATTTCATCGTTTTCGTAACATTTGGTTTAGTTTGACTCTTACCAGGCGTTGACATGGCTGTAGTGGTGGTGTCTATGACGTGGGAAGCGTTGGTCAGGGCACAGTCTGGAAACTCCTTCCTGATAAAGGCCTTGTCTTAACCCGAGCTCGTGCTCACGCGGCTCGCCATCCGTGCTAACCCCTTACACTTGCCAGGTGTGGACCCAGAAGAAGGTATGGGAGGGCTTCATCAAGTGTTGCCAGCGCACCAAGCCCAGCAGCTACCAGGTGCTGCTGCAGTTGCCGCCGGAGCCGCTGCGCGACGTGTTCGCCACGGCGCCCGAGCTGCGCAGCAACCTGCTCGACTACGTGGCCAGCTTCAGCGAGGCGCAGCGCGGCCACATTCCGACGGACGTGATGCGCGTGCTGAACGGAGACCGGCCGCGCGAGCTGGCCGACGAGCCGGTGAGTGGGCGCCGCCCGGCAGGCCGAGCGTCACGCGGCGGCTGGCGGGCTCCGGTCAGCCACATGTGTAACGCTCTTCCGTGGCCAACGGCCTGTGAAGCCGGTCTCATGTCGGAAGGAAGTCCGAACACGTTGGCGTGTTAGTGTGTCGGACGTCCGACACTTGACGTTCCCGTCGTCTCCGCCAGATGTCACCGCCGGAGGTGGACTCGATCGACCCGGTCAGCGTGCGTGAAGCGGTGCCGCCGCCGCCGCTCAACCCGCCACGCAGCGCGCCGCCGCACCCACGCGAACGCAACCGGCCGCGGTCGCGGCCCAAGCGGTCCCGCTCGCGCTCGCGACCCGAGCCCGAGCCCGAGGACGCGCCGATGGCCGCCATCGACTACTGAGGTCGTCGCCATCGGCCGACACGGACCGCCTGGCGGTGACGTCCTCCGGCTGTGACCGTGCGCCGGCCGGGCCCCGCCGGGCCCCCTGACCCGGCTCGGCCGCCCCACTATGTGAACTGTGCGCCGCCAGTTAGTGCGCACCACTCTGTTACACGTCTTTTGTATGTAGGTATTGTTGGCACGACGGCAGTGCGCATCGGACGAAATACACGTGCAAATGGAGCGCGGTTATCTGGCGACGCTGTCAAAGCCGTTGTGCTGCGCCAGCCAGCACGTAAGGTAGGTGGTGCGGCTGCTGACGGAGTGGGCGACCCGGTCCCTATCTGGGCCGCGGGAGCCGGCGGCGGGCCGGGCTCAGAGTGGCCGGACCCGTCGAGTCGTGCTAGCGCTACCGCCGCCGCTCGAGGCGCTGAGCCGGGGGGCCGCTGCTGGCCGCCGGCCGGACTGAGCCAGGGCGCAGCAGCGGTGCTGGGTCTGACCACGGCGGCGCTGGTCTGCCTTGCCAGCAGCCGCCCACCGCGGGACCAGCCGCAGGCTGCGCAGGCGCTGAGTGCCGCAGCTCTGGCCTCGCTGTGCCCCTGGGCCTGCCCGCAGCCCTGTTCCAGCAGCAGCCTGGGATTCACAGTTCAGCTGAGCGCGAGGCGGTATTTTAAGTCAAGCTTCCGGAATGTCTGTCCTGCATGTCCTGTTGCACGGCTCCGAGACGAGACGGGATGCCGGGTTGTTAAATGAAATATGGCTGCACACCAGAAACATTTGCTGTAAAATAGGTTGCCGTCGTGCTTACATATTGTCGTACCATTCTTCCGGGCCTGGTATCACCAGGTACTTGACACCTGTACGAGATGACCTTGAAACCTTCGTGTATGCACCAGCGGCACTTCATTCAGAAACTGTGGCATGTGACTAGATAAACCAATATGCCTTGAACATCCATGGAGGTTTGCAAATTGCCCTTCATCAGATGTTACAGATGGTCTTTTTTTTGCACGCACGACGTGTCTTAAAAAACAGTTCCTAGACACGTGTGTGGAGGGTTACTGCGGTTGACTGCGGGTAATTCGCATATGCGACCATAAACATAGCTTTTTGCTGGTTTATTTTTGCGTTCACTCACCAGCAAACCGCTGTGCACTGGCCCATTTTGGTCAGAACCTTGACAGTTTAGCCGGCACCACCAGATGGGTCTTCCGCTACCCGCAGTGGCCCGTACCTGCGTGTGTGAGGGGGGATTGCAAGTTGTACCCCGGGTACCTTATGATGCAACCGCGGGGTCGGGAGAGGCCTGCCGCAGGGAGACCTGGGACGTGGAGTTGACGCCGGACACGTTACCAGTCGCCTCAAAACTCAGCAAGACAGTTTTGAAATGACTGCAGGGCGTTTTCGCGTTTGTCGTAGAGGCCTATTCAGCCTCCGAGCCGGCACAAATGTCAAAAACATTGTCCGGCGCCTCAAAAACACACCGTGGTGCTAGTCAAGGCGAATAATTGACATTGGGACTTTACGCCGCACGCGGTTGCTGAGACTACATGGAGTCACCTGCCTCTCGCTCCGGTAAGAAGGGCGGGCACAGTGCAGCACCACGGGAAATCGAACCCGTACCTCTGGGTTCCCAGACGCCTTGCTTAACCACCGCACTACCGGTATCCCTAAGGCCGAGAATCAATCAGGGTCAGGGTCATGTAGGATTATGGTCGGATCACCTCATCACATCTAATGTCACATGCTCTTACACTCATTGTCACGTGCTTGTCACATGCTCTACATTACACAACGGTCGTTGTCTTGGAAACGAGTAAGTCACACCAACCTGTTTATCACAGAAGGCCCTAGCAAAGCACTTTGGTTACATGATATAACTTCATCCCGCATGATCTCTGGTGCACGCGAACTCGTATGGTGGGAACTCCGAATTCTGCAGCTGATCTTAAAATTGCAGCGCAAGCCATCAATGATGAACCCAGATCTCAGTGACATGGATCCCGTGGTAGCACAGAATTCGATAGCGGTGCTTGCGTTGTGACGGTACTTCGGTCCCCATCACTGTGGGCGAAGACAAAGCGCAAGAGCAATATTCAGTAATATGTGGGCTTTTACGTAATATAAGTAAACAACCTCTTTTAGGTCTGAAAGATTCAGGATTTGAGGATTAAAATTTTTGACTTGTTCTGAAAAAGGTAACGCAAGGTCTGTTTTATAGGACCAATCCCTTCTAGCTATGGGCGTTCAGCTCTGGCATGGGTGCCGGGCGTGTGAGCACAGCAACGCCGTTGTCGTGGGGGGCGGGGGGGGGGGGGGCGGCGGCGCTCGCTGACCCGTCTGAAGCCGTGCTCCAGGTGGTAGGAGGAGAGGAGGGGGGGGGGGGGGGGGGAGATCGTGAGAGCCATGGTGACCTTGGGCCGCCCACTGCTGGTGCACGCGCTGGATGTGACCATTGACAGACTGTCGCCGCTGTTCACGCCGCCGCAGAAGGGCGTGTGCCTGAGGCTGGCCCGCGCCGCTAGAGGTGCATGGCGGCTGGCGGCTGGCGACTGCGCTGCGCTGCGAGCAGGCGCTGCTCGCCGTCCGGAGCCTGACGACGGCCTGCTCCGGCCGGCCGGTTGGGATGCCGAGCCGGGCCGGTCCTGCCGCTCACCCCAGCCGGCCGGACCCAGAGGCAAGCCCCAGTAGTCAGGGCCGGGAGCGGGCGCCGCCGGCCCCTCACACCCAGAGGCAAGCCCCAGGAGTCAAGACCGGGAGCGGGCGCCGCCGGCCCCTCACACCCGGAGGCAAGCCCCAGGAGTCAGGGCCGGGAGCGGGCGCCGCCTGCCCCTCACACCCAGAGGCAAGCCCCAGGAGTCAGGGCCGGGTGCGGGCGCCGCCGGCTCCACAGACCCGGAGCGCCAGGGAATGGCGAGGCTGCGCGCGGCTGGCCGTCACGGAGGGAGGTGGCGCCGTCCGCCCAGGACCTTCTTCACTACGCATTTAGCTGCCTGCCGGCCGGCTGCTTGTGTGTGTCGCACCGGCCGTACCGCGGCGGCGCACGCAGCATACCGCCTGCGCGCGGTGGGCACGTCTGCGGACGCCCGGCTGGCGCTGCACCTGCTCCGAAGGCCTTCCTCCCTTCCTCCTCCCGCCGCCAGCCTAGTGGGAGCTCTGGTGTCGACGCGCGGCCGATCTCCGGGCCCGCGGACCATCAGACACCTTCCTCCCGCCGCCGCCAGCCTAGTGGGGGCTCTGGTGTCGACGCGCGGCCGATCTCCGGGCCCGTGGACCATCAGACGCCTTCCTCCCGCCGCCGCCAGCCTAGTGGGGGCTCTGGTGCCGACGCGCGGCCGATCGGCGGGCCCGCGGACCATCAGACGCCTTCCTCCCGCCTCCGCCAGCCCTATGGGAGCTCTGGTGTCGGCGCGCGGCCGATCGCCGGGCCCACAGACCAACAGACGCTGTCAGCGCCGGAGAAGCTGCGCCTGCTGACTGTGCCGACCGCCCTACGACTTCGAGGCTATGCACACCATCTGTGCGCACCCCCTGGCAGGTCGTGACGAGGCGTGGCTGGAACCAGACGGTGCAGTGCTAGATGCACTGGGCCGTGCCCCGACGGAAGGGCGGGCTGTAATGACACCGCGGCGCACTCAGCATGCTCTCGCGTCGGCCGTCTTGCACGAGCAACTTCCTGTATATGCTCTACATGATTTTGGTATGCCTGGGGACCGGGTGGCTCTGGGAGTGCCGCTTACGACCCCGACTCTCAGCTAGGGTCGGTCTCAAGTACTAGACAGTTGACCCGCGGGGCGTGGATGTCTCGCACTGGAATACACTCGGTCCGCTCTGGGACGAGCTGATCTACGGATGATGCGGTCTGCGCAGAATTGGGTCCGCTAATTGGATAAAGCAGGTATGCCCGGACGCTGGCGCTAGACTCGGCCGCGGCGTCGTGGCGGTGAGTTCCGCGGCGGCGTGGTGGTGAGGTGTGCGGCGGCGTGGCGGTGAATTCCGAGGCGTCGTGGTGGTGAGTTCCGCAGCTGCGTGGCGGTGAGGTGCGCGACGCCGTGCCGGTGAGTTCCGCGGCGCCGTGGCGGTGAGGTGCGCGGCGTCGTGGCGGTGAGGTGCGCGGCGGCGTGGTGGTGAGTTTCGCGGTGTCGTGGTGGTGAGGTGCGCGGCGGCGTGGCGGTGAGTTTCGCGGTGTCGTGGTGGTGAGGTGCGCGGCGTCGTGGCGGTGAGGTGCGCGGCGGCGTGGCGGTGAGTTTTGCGGTGTCGTGGTGGTGAGTTCCACGGCGGCGTGGCGGTGAGGTGCGCGACTTCGTGACGGTGAGTTCCGCGGCGGCGTGGCGGTGAGGTGCGTAGCATCGTGGCGGTGAGGTGCGCGACGGCGTGGCGGCGAGTTTCGCGGTGTCGTGGTGGTGAGTTCCGCGGCGGCGTGGCGGTGAGATGCGCGGCGTCGTGGCGGCGAGTTCCTTGGCGGCGTTGTGGCGAGGAAGTCCGCGGCGTTGTGGCGGTGAGTTCCGCAGCGTCGTGGCGGTGTGGTCCGCGGCGTTGTGGCGGTGAGTTCCGCGGCGTCGTGGCGGTGTGGTCCGCGGCGGCGTGGCGGTGAGTTCCGCGGCGTCGTGGCGGTGAGGTGCGCGGCGTCGCGGCGGTGAGGTGCGCGGCGGCGTGGCAGTGAGTTTCGTGGTGTCGTGGTGGTGAGTTCCGCGGCGGCGTGGCGATGAGGTGCGCGACGTCGTGACGGTGAGTTCCGCGGCGGCGTGGCGGTGAGTTCCGCGGCGGCGTGGCGGTGAGGTGCGCGGCGTCGTGGCGGTGAGATGCGCGGCGGCGTGGCGGTGAGTTTCGCGGTGTTGTGGTGGTGAGTTCCGCGGCGGTGTGGCGGTGAGGTGCACGGCGTCGTAGCGGTGAGATGCGCGGCGGCGTGGCGGTGAGTTTCGCGGTGTTGTGGTGGTGAGTTCCGCGGCGGCGTGGCGGTGAGGTGCGCGACTTCGTGACGGTGAGTTTTGCGGCGGCGTGGCGGTGAAGTCCGTGGCGTTGTGGCGAGGCGGTCCGCGGCGTCGGAGCGCACACCGCACGAGTCTGCCAACCTCAGTTGTGCCTTCCGCTCCGGTCTGTCCTGGCCGGGGTTTAAGGGCGCGGTGCGGTTTAAGGGTCGTACTACACGGGCGCCTGGCTCATGCGCGTCTCCCTACTGCCCTGCAGGCTGCTGGCCACCACACCGGGGCGGAGCGCCAGCGTCCTGCCCCTCTGTAGCTCGCTGTGCTCGGTCGGCCACGCCGCGTTGGCGACTCTGCTGCAGTGGTCTGCTGCTGCCGCGCCGGCGGCGGCCGGCCCCCCGCCGCGGCCGCCGTTGGTCGCGGTGTGACGCCGACGCGTTCATCAGCATGGCGGGTCGGTCGCAGTGTTGACAGCAGCCAAACGCCACGCACGAACGACAGGTTCTGTGGTGTTGGAGGCGGCCGCTTCGACGGGACGCCCGTCACTTTCAACCCCCCCCCCCCCCGCATGATGCTGCCTTCGTGGTTTGGGGTAAGATGCTGAACCGACTGCACGGTGAGTGAGTACAGGTTCCACAGCGGGCGCATTGTCTGACCCGGCTGATATGGGAAAGGCCACTAGACAACCGACAAACGAGGGTCAAGCCAGGCCCAGGCCGGTCGTGCCACAGCG